CCCCCTCCATCCACAACCCGGCCCTTATTTTGGGGTTAAAAAGCCCCAAATCGGTGACATTTCCCCCCCCAGGGCTGAGGTGAGCCCACGTGAGGACGCGTCGGCAGCGCTGTGCGGGCTGATCCTCGAGCTCTCCAACCTCAAGTGAGCAGCGCCTGCCCCCACGCCCCACTTTTGGGTCCTTTTGGGGCTGTTTGTGGCCCCGGGGGGGGTGGGAGGGGGGGAGGGATTTGGGTTAGGGTCTCACTGTCCTCCTTAGGGCTCTCGTTGTCTCCTGTGGGGCTGTGGGGGGTTTCAATGTTCCCTCTCACATCTCCCTGCCCCCTGTGGGGTCTCGTTGTCCCCTAGGGGGTCTCACTGCCCCCTATGGGGTCACATCCTCTATGGGGTCTCATTTTCCCCTGTGGGGTCTCATTGTCCCTATGGGGTCTCCCTGCTCCCTATGGGGTCTCATTGTCCCCTATGGGGTCTCATTGTCCCTATGGGGTCTCCTTGCTCCCTATAGGGTCTCTGTCCCCTATGGGGTCTCCCTGCCCCCTATGGGGTCTCATTGTCCCCTATGGGGTCTCATTGCTCCCTATGGGGTCTCATTATCCCCTATAGGGTCTCACTGCTCCCTGTGGGGTCTCATTGTCCCTCTGGGATCTCACTATCCACTATGGGGCTGTGGGGTTCTTATTGTCCCCTATGGGGTCTCACTGCCCCCTCTGGAGTCTCCTTGTCCCCTACAGGGTCTCCTTGTCCCCTGTGGGGTCTCATTGTCCCCTATGGGGTCTCATTGTTTCTATGGGGTCTCCCTGCTCCCTATAGGGTCTCTGTCCCCTATGGGGTCTCACTGCCCCCTGGAGAGTCTCACTGCCCTCTGTGGGGTCTCACTGTCCCTATGGGTCTCACTATCCACTATGGGGCTGTGGGGGTCTCATTGTCCCCTATGGGGTCTCACTGCCCCCAGTGGGGTCTCATTGTCCCTTGTGGGGTCTCCCTGCCCCCTATGGGGTCTTGCTGTCCCCAGTGGGGTGTCGTTGTCTCTATGGGGTCTCCCTGCTCCCTATGGGGTCTCTGCCCCCTGTGAGGTCTCACTGCCCCCTCTGGAGTCTCATTGTTCCCTATGGGGTCTCCCTGCCCCCTATGGGGTCTCATTGTCCCCTATGGGGTCTCGTTGTCTCTATGGGGTCTCCCTGCTCCCTATGGGGTCTCATTTTCCCCTATGGGGTCTCATTGTCCCTATGGGGTCTCCCTGCTCCCTATAGGGTCTCTGTCCCCTATGGGGTCTCCCTGCCCCCTATGGGGTCTCATTGTCCCCTGTGGGGTCTCATTGTCTATATGGGGTCTCATTGCTTCCTATGGGGTCTCATTATCCCCTATAGGGTCTCACTGCTCCCTGTGGGGTCTCATTGTTCCTCTGGGATCTCACTATCCACAATGGGGCTGTGGGGGTCTCATTGTCCCCTATGGGGTCTCCCTGCCCCCCATGGGGTCTCATTGTCCCCTATGGGGTCTCGTTGTCCCTATGGGGTCTCCCTGCTCCCTATGGGGTCTCCCTGCCCCCCGTGGGGTCTCACAGCCCCCTTCTCCCCCAGCCGCCGCCTGATGGGCGCCCATCGCACCATGGAGGCCCTGCGGCGGCTGCGGCTGCGCAGGGAGCGGAGCTGGGGGGCGGCGAGGAGGAGGATGGAGGGGGAGCCGGGGGTGAAGCAGCGCCAGCGCCTGTGAGTGGGGGAGCGGCTGCGTGGGGGGAAAGCGTGG